TGGAAGCAATTCCTGATAGTGTGAGCAGGCCTGCACGTCAGATTCCACTCCAGCCCTCATTCATCCTCTTCATGATGCCACGGTGAAGGGAGTGAGTGAACTCTGCATCTCACATCCAAGTGTCTGCTCCAGCTGCGGGAAGGAAGGCAGTCATTTTGGCACAAATGCACGTTGAGGGAAGTAGAAATGCTTTCTAGTGAAGCTGTGAGCTCTGAGGGCCAGAATAGTCAGGCAGGAGAGGGAGAGCACATGTTCTTAATAGACGTTTTGCCCGGTATGCTGTTGCTTGGCAGTAGCAGCTGCAGTGTGTGCTATGGGGAACCAGGCTGCAGGGCAGCACTCAGTACTGATCTTTTCTTTTTTTTTAAGGGCCTTTTCTTAAGCCCTACAAGTAATGTCATGCTGAAGGTACACATCTTGGAGAGGAGAGTGTTGAGGAAGAGGGAAGCCAGAACTCTCTTCTCTCTAGTTGTGTCTTTTAAAGATATGGCTACTACCAATTATACTACGTGTAAATATCAGTTTTCATTTAACTTTGATTGTGTGTGGAAAAGTCTGTTAGGATCATGCTGGTAAATGCCTGCTGATGTTGATCTGATTTCGCATCCCTCTGCATTACACTCTGTGAATCGGTCAGGTCAGTTTTGTGAATCAAATATTGCCTTTTGTTACAGAGTTGAAACACACTGAAATGAGTAATCATTACATGAATCAGTTGCTTTTGTATTTTGTGATTTTCCTCTTTTTCCACCTTTTTTCTACTTCTGTAGCTCTTCAGTCCCAATGTAGGGAAATGTTATTTTCTCCTTCAGTTTCTAGAATGATAGGCAATTTTAAGGCCTCATAATGACAAAAAGTAATGCTTTACTATTCCCTATCATTTTGCCTTTGGACCGTGATCATTGCCGCCTGTAAGGTCTGTACTAATCGCTGTCAAGCTCTTCAACTCTCTCCTGAACTCAGAGGAAAACAGTGTCACAGAAACTTTTTTTTGGTGGGGGGAGGAGGGAAGGGACATTTTTCTGGATAACTGCTTGAAAAATAAATGTATTTTGCATTCTAGATACTATTAAAAATTCTGTACTTCTGGTGGAAGATACATTTTTTTCCCAGATTTTTTAATAAAAGAAAACGTATCGTATTTATGAATTTCAGTTGGATTCTAAAGAATTTGAGCACTCAGGCAGCCTGCTGTGTGTTTCTGCTTGCATATAATATGATTCTTATGAGACCAGTGGTAAAGATACCAGGCAGTGACAGATATCTAGAGGGTCAATATAATGATGTCTTCTCTCTCTGAGTCTTTTTCTTTTCTTTTATTACTTGAGATGTCATGAAGTGAACAAATAAATAAATCCCCCAAAGAACAGGAAATAGCAGTCGTTTTAATCACTGAAGACCATGTGGCTAGATAGGTGTTTGTGCACAACATTGTTTTATTCTGCTACATACTAAATAATTACTTGGCATGGCTAGCTTTTTTCCTTCTCACACAAATAAAAATGGTTGAGGAAACTGAAGACTCCAGTATGAAAGCAGATAAGTATGTTCAGCACAAAAGTACTTATTTACAAAATTAGTGTGTCTGAAGCATAGCTCTGCTTTGATTTTTGTCACTATAGGGAATATTCATGCCACTCTTTTTAGGTATCTACTTGGATTCTTTGACTCACATCTGAATCACAGGCCTGTTGTGGTCAGTGTGAAATCTCAAATATTTCTACAATGTAGTGAAGTATATATGAAGATATATTGGAGAAGAGAAGGCTCTGGGGAGATCTCATTGTGGCCTTCCAGTATTTGAAAGGAGCATAAAAACAGAGGGAGAACAACTGTTTACGAGGGTGGATAGTGATAAGACAAGGGGGAATGGTTTTAAAACTGAGACAGGGAGGTTTAGGTTAGATATTAGGAGGAAGTTAGATAAGGAGGAAGTTTTTCACGCAGAGGTTGGTGACACACTGGAACAGGTTGCCCAAGGGGGCTGTGGATGCCCCATCCCTGGAGGCATTCAAGGCCAGGCTGGATGTGGCTCTGGGCAGCCTGGTTTGGTGGTTGGTGACCCTGCACATAGCAGGGGGATTGAAACTAGATGATCTTTGTGGTCCTTTTCAACCCAGGCCATTCTATGACTCTATGAACATGTACATATAGTTAGCATAGTGGTGCCAATTGGAACAAGTTGAGGAAAGTGGAATGAAGGAGATACTCTAAAAAATTGTTCTTGCTCTCAAAGCTCAGATCCCAGGTACAACATCAGGGGAGATCTCTTACTGATTCATTTACTTTGCTAGAAAACAAACTAGTTAAAATTCTTGCCCTTAATTGTGATGAGAAAAAGCTTGAACTTTGTTTTCTGGTTTACAAACTTTCTTAACTGAAAGTGTGCTGGCATGGGTGTTTGTCATAGGTCTATTTTGCTTGCTCTATAAGCTTCACCTGTTAGAGGGATGGTAAAGTGTGGTGACAGATATCTGCTCTCTGAACCTGTAGCTGGGGCATCCAGCTGTAGTGGGGCCCATGCTGGAGTTTAGCTACCTATTGGCATTAGACCAACACAGTCCTTTTGTGGGCACACTGAATACTGAATGGCACCCATGTCCTTATTCTGCTGCCTGTGGGTACTTCATGCAGGAGTACTTGGCAATCTGCTGAACCTTCTCAGAGAGCAGCAGGGAGTTGACATTGCAGGGGCACAGAGAGATGTGGGCAGCGATGCTGAGTGCTGATCTGCACCTTGAGGGCATGCTCTCTCTGCTAGGCTGGTTGGTAAGTCTGGAGAGGAAAACCACCACCAGGGTGTGGCACAATTCCCTGTGTAGTTTTCCAGATGAGATTGATGAATTTGGACTGAATTTATAAATTCCAGAGTGGCTGCAATCATGTTTTCAAGGAGCTCATTCTTAATGAATAAATATATTACTTAAGTTTACTCCTGAGTGATTTGAGTGAGCAACTTCCTGCCAAGTAATTTACCTCAGAAGTCATACTTCCTTCATCACCATGTATTTCGGATGCACAGCATCTTGTCCCAGGAGATCCACAATATGTGGGATTTTGTAGTCACAAAAGCAAGAACTGCACTTTTTCCTTTTGAATTCTTATTAGTGTTTCCTTTTTAGAGATGCAAACCCTGCTTCAGAGACGTCTGCCTTGGGCCCTGCACGCTCAACATGAGACTGACTGATTTCTTTCTTTGTGTAGATGATTAAGAATTTAATGATTGATAAAAATAAGAGCTAAAGAAATATATGATGTTGGGTTATGCTATTTCTGTAAGCTTAGTAAAGATGTTTTGCTTACTGATATAGGTAGAAAATCAAAATACCATTGTTTTCTTTTAAAGTGGTGTATTACTGCAGGGAAAATATTTTTCCCTCACTTGGATGGAACAGCAGCTCATTTGTGGTAGTGTAGCACTGAAAATATACATATGGTACTTCACATACACAGACAAATGCATGTGTTTATGATTGTTGATGACATGGTCTGATTTCTAGTACTGTATGTCTGCTGGATTTTCCTACTGTGTATTTTGTTGTACATCTCAATAACAGGGAAAAAAAAAAAAAGCTTTTTATTTTTTTAAGTGATAACCAAAATTAAACAACCAGTAGAAGAAAAATGCCAAAATAATACACGTAGGATACAAATTGGTCAACTTAGCAGATTCATAGCTAATTGCCGTCATTTTTCTTTTCAGTCCTATTCTTTTTGCACCTAGTCCTAGTCCTATTTTCTTTTAGCGCCAATATACCCAGACCATCTGGTTCTGGGAACAGTGTCAACCCTTCAGGGTTGTCAGGAGAAGGGTCGTTGTTGTCAGTAGGAGCTGAAGCTGCTTAGGCTGTTAGAGTGGCCACCTCTAGCAGAACTATCATGCTCAGATGTTAAAATTCCCTTGAGTATGGTGGGATTTCTTTCCTTGTTGCCTGTAATTTCCATTTTGAAAGAAAAAGAAGCCAAATCAGCAAAGAAAAAATGGGTCCAAATTGCAGATAATAAATATTGAAGGTGCACTAATTAGTGCAATCATGAAAAATGTTGTGTTTTATACAAATACTTCATTGGCTTGTATTTTTGTAGAGATTCTTTATGTTTCTTTGCACCTGTTCTGCTTCATGTGAATGAATAAATGCTTAGCTAGGAAACTGTAATGGAATTTATCTTTGTGCTTGTGAAAATGTAAGTAAACAGCAAAGAATATCCTTCACCATATTTTGTTTGTTTGTTTTACTTGTCATGTTTTAAAACAGATTTTAAAACATTGTGATTAGATGGGCTGGAAAAAGTCTATTTTGGATTGCTTGCAAATAAAATCTAATAAAATCAAATAATAATAACAAAAAAGATAATGGTGATTAATTGATGGCACTCTGTAAGTTGCTTTGTCTGAACTTGAAACATTGTAAATAATTATTTTTGCATTTAAGGTGTTAAACTTGACATTCAGAAAACAGTTCACTACTACAAGACAATTTGAGAACAAATTAGATAAGAAGGAAGAAAGAGCTTAAGGGAAAGACTTTAATCTGCATTCATTATTTATTCTTTTTTCTGAGAATATTATTTATGCCAAATATAGGCCTTTAATCAAAAAATGATTAAAATATTCAGATCTCACATACATACTGAGATGCATTGACCCAAATTTTATCCATCCAAGGGGGAAACCCTGTAGTTTGTGCAGCTGATGGAACCTCTCTGTTCCCACCCCCTGCTGTAATTAATTTGGACAAAGATCCGTTGTTTATTTTCGTCACTTTTTTGTTTTGAAAAGTTCCTGTGTCTGCTGTTCATACCATGTTTTAAGATAAACAAGGCAATCCTTTTCATTTGTCTGTCTTTTTCTTCTTTGTAGCTATCTGCCAGGCCACCTGAACAAATCAACTGCTTCACAAGATCCTCAAATAAACACATCTTTTACTAAAAGTAACTGAGGTTAACTGGACAGAGGCAAATGAAACTCATTCTTCTTCATTTTATCTTTTTGTAGTTAATCTGCTGGATTCAAAAACAATTCAAGGGGAGCTGGGCTGGATCTCCTACCCATCACATGGGGTGAGTTCACTAGACTGTGAAATGGAAAAGTGCTTCTGCGGACCAATGTGCTATTTAACCATTGTTTCCTCTTCAGAGGACACTGTGCAATAGCTGTAGTTCTTTGGAGCTTCAAAAATAGTCTGCTCTAAACTTGAAATGTATTGTTTATAAAGTTATGGAGCCTTTTCTCTAGAATATATATCACACACTGTGTATAATCCCCATGAAGAGTTTCTTAAGGAAAATGTTCACTGAACAACAGAAAGAACAAACCTGTGTTTAAGCACCACTCCTTCTTCTATTGCAATGCATATTTCTAAGAGATACCACAGAACTGTTTTATAATAGTGCTTTGATGATTTTGTCACATCATGGGGGAAGGTTGAATAATAACTGTGTGATATAAGAACTCATTTGGTAAAGTCTGTGCTGAATTTTTCAGGTATTGTTATTTATTAGTTATAACGTTATCAAAGAAATCAAAGAAATCAAAGAAATCCCTTTACTGTATGGGAACTGCTAAATCACGGCCTGAACCACTGACTGATCACCTGAGGCAAGCACGGAGTCAGCCCTGGGAGCACAGGTGAAGGCAATTCATCTGTGTGACCAGAAAGGGTGGAGCCTGGCTGCACCTCTCTTAGACCCATTTAAGAGCTGACTGCCAGGGGGGAAGGATCTCTTTTTGGAGATTGCTCCCTTGGGAATTTTTTACTGTAAGCCTAGGAAATAGGTGAGCATTTCATTTATTTTTGATTATTTTTTCTCTCCACTGTGATAGTCTTAATAGTTATATGACTTGTAAAATACTGGTCTATCCATGCCGCTCTGCTAATTGTAAATTTGCTGATTGTATGTTTACTTTGTATCCAGATTCAATGAAACCGTGAGTTCTGTCTGGATTAGTGCAGTCTTAAATAATCTGTGCTTTAATGTTTGCTAATGCTGTTATTTTAGGACAGCATTTGCCACCGTTTTTTGCCAGCTTAATGTTATTGCCTAGCTGTCTAGTGGCACTGTTATTTGGTCGCTCCTCAACTTGCTGTGTTGCTGTGAAATGTATATGTGTTCTGGTGTGTATTCTTTCTTTCTACACTGCATAGTGCAGATGTTGAAGGAGGCTCCCAAGTTGCTGCATTTTGTCTACTGACCAAAGGAGCCTACCTGGTACACTGAAGCCTTAATACCTGAATCTTCCCTTGCCCTTAGAAAAGGCTGTGCTTTCAAGCCTTTTCTGAAAGAATGTGTTCCAAGACCTGCAGCTCCTTCTCTTTCTGCTCCGTAACTTGAACAGCACCACACATGGTGGTGCTTTGGTTCCTTCCTCTTCTGCTAGTCTTATTTCAGTCCTCCATCTTTAAATGATGACTCCTAGAAGCTTTTGCGTGTCTTTGTGCCTTTGTCTCCTGCTCTACAAATTAACCTCTGCCAGAGTTTATTGCTGCTTCTAAGTCTTTGGGAAACACTGTTTCTAGTCATGATGAGGGTGGGATTCAGTTTTTAAAACTGAAGTAGTGCCTTCTTGGTTATTAACTATTATACAGGTATCTAGCAGTACCTAAGAATGAAGTCTTGGTTTACTGTCGGAGTTTACACATCTCTTGCTGTGTCTCTGAACAAATTGTTCCATTCTCATGGGGAAGAGGGTTCAAGTTTCTTTCTAGTGGCTGTTCCTGCTGACTTTTCCCAACGAGAAACATTTATAAACAGGATGTCCAAGAGGGAACTCTCCAACAATTTTCAAGCTCCACAGTTTATCAACCTTTCTTGTCTTAACTTTTTTTTTTCTCTGAGGTTTTTTTTTTTTTGTTTCTCACTCAGCTGCCCTGCACTTCTCTGCTTTACTCTGCTCTGTTTGTCTTGCAGCTGTGCAGATCTACTGCTCTGCTCCCTGCAGCTGTGCCTCTCTTGCTTTGAGTGCCTAAAGCAGTTGGTAGGGAATTGAGGTATCTTGAGGGCTGTAAGAAAAACAGATGTGCTGCATTATCCCATCAGAAAGAGCCTCCTGATCTCTCAAAACAATTTTATTAGCCTCTGCAAGTTTGTGTCAGGTAATTCTAGCAAAACTTGTTCTTGACTGTGCATGCTGTTCTTACTTACTGTAATATCCATATACACTGAAGCCAAACTAAATAATGGAATTTTACTGATGTCCTTACAAGGTAGTGAAATTCCTCATTAAAAATCACATAGTAAATTAATGTAGATCGTGTACTGTGAGTGTTTTTGTAGAAGAACTAAGGATCTTCAAAGTGTGCCCTTCAAAGTGTTGTGAAATTGTAAGATAGCCTATTGAAACATCAATGTAAAGCATGAAAATACTGTTATGTATCCTACTGAATACCCTACTCGAATATTTCTGTAAAATGGTGACAACTTGAACGTATGAAAGAGGGATCTTTTCTTTTTACAGCCCATTATTTATAGTCAATTAATTAAACCTGGTAAATATGGCTGCATCTGTCTCTGAGCTAACTAAAATATGAACTTAAACTTTAGTGGAAAAACATTATAATAAAGATGTCACATCATGCTGAAAGATTGCTAATAGCATAGCGGTGATTTACAGGGTAAAGTTAATAGAGCTACACTTGAGGCTGTGATTCACAAATGAGTATACTGGTGCTGTGCCAATTCTTCTTCAGTGTGCAGCAGCATTCTCATCTGAAGTAAAAAATGTCAATGTATGGAGGAGTGTGACTTACAGAAATTTTGTAAAAAATAATTTATCTGAAGTGTTTAATATGCCTGTTAGAAGGCTAGTCGTTTTTATCTGATCTGTACATGATATTGATTTCTAGCAAAGTGATCCAAACTGGTTGGTTGTCACTTTCAGCATTCAATGGCTATTCTTTCTTCTTCAAGTCTGATTTGATTTGGGCATATATAATAATAGCTTTCGAGAAATTCCTGAATATTCATGTTAAGATTCATAGCTCATTTGTATTCAACGATTTTTGTGTCCCACATAAGAACCCTCTGGCGGCAGTGTTTTAGACTATGGTTAGTAATATCACCCTGTAAGAATGTGATCTCTCCTTGAATCATCCCATGCAGCCACAGCCTTGGCATCAGGAACGCTGATCTGGTCAAGCTTATTAAAATCTCTTAAGTACAAAACACCATCCCCTCTAGATAGCAAGGCAACTGAATTAAAAATATAGTAGTTGGCTTTGGTGCTCAAGTGTGATTGGCAGCAGCCAGAAGGCCTGTATCCTCTGCTACCATCTTCAGCACCTGCCTAGGCAACCTTTTTGTAATGCCAATCAGTCAAATACCAGCTCCATTTCTATAGGTTTCATTAAAGGGGGAAGAAAGAAGAGCTACTTAGTCTGTGCAGAGTATATTATTGATATGCTGATTAAGCATAAAGAGAGTGATCATTAACTGCAATTCACATAAATTACAGCAGCACAGATGTGGGGGTTGGGAGGATGAAAAAGCAAGTCACTTTAATAATGTACAATAGAAATGTGATGGATAATTCATACAGGACAAAAAGAGTGGAGTCTAAATCCTGCTCTGCATATTCATGTGAGTAGTTGTATTGGTTTCAGTGTATTTTCTTATTTTGGTAAGAGAGATGTTTCTAATTTGAAACATTGCTAAATTGAAACACCAAACTAAATTAGTTCTGTGTTCTTCGGGAGGTTTGGAAAATTGTGTCATAAGAACAGTGCATTGTTCTACAGTCACCCAAATTCTGACATGATCTTTACATGTTTATTGCACATACTGATAGACTTGATAGTTCTTTGGTCCTCTTTTGGGTAGTTGGTTGAAAAGTAAAAGAAGAAATTGTTCCTTTTTTTTTTTTTTGCTTACAGCTAGAGGAAAAAATGTTCTGATATTTATTATTATAATATAGATAATTGTTAAAAACACCCTCTTCCTGCCCAACTCTGTCCTGTACACAACCAGTAAGTTGTAAGCAAAATCAAAAATTAGGGGTTGGGAAATAGAAACTTCTCCAATGATCAAATGCCATATCTCTAAGTCCCTAAGTGTTTTTTTTTTTTTTTTTTTTTTTACCCATCTGACCTGAGAGTTAGGCATGTTCATTATCATAAACTCTGGGATGCATACTTGAGCTGCTGACTGTACACTGAAGTGCTTTCAAAATCTGTTGTAAATATTCACTTCTTCTTAGTTCTTGCTCTCATAATCATTTGGACAGAACAAGTTGTTGCTCTCAATGATGGAAACTTCATTAAGTATTAGTGGAGAAGCAGATAATGTTCCCTGTTTCTATAATAATAGTTTGTGTTGTGTGAGGAAGGCCAGAACATATGTTATGGAGATTGATTGAGAGTTTTTTCCATGAACCAAAATTGGGTTAGAATTGAAAATCTTGAGTACAAATGAGGAAAACGTCTCCTTTCTTATATTTCAAAAGCCTGCAAGTAGTTTGTCGCATTAGATTTCGCCTGCCCACAAAAGTGAGTCTCCCAGGCTGCATTTGTTCTGGTTGCAATAATCTGCTAACATGTGGCACTGTAAAATCTTCTGGCTTTTTTTTTTTTTTTTTTTTTGGTGGGATATCATGGATTCAGTGACAGAAGAAAAGTCAGAATAAATAAGGCACTTGGGTACTGCTTGTGACTAGATGAAAGTAGAGAAGAATGTGGGTGTAATGATGTTTTGAGTGTGATTAAGGTACGCTCAAACAAACTGTATTCAGTAGTCAGTTATCTTAGCTGCTGGGAACAGAAAGTTTCTGTTTATATGACAGAGATTCTCAAGATTAATAAGTATTTCCATGAGTACTGGAAATAATGTGGCTCATTTTCCTGCAGCTTTAAGTCTTGTGGTTAATTGTGTCCCTGCAATTGAAGCTCTTCTTGCAGTGGGTCCTTAATGCCATTGGGTTTCCTCATATATTGCTGCAGCCTTCTACTGAGCTTGAACATACAGAAAGTTTCTCTGACCTCACAAAGTCCCTCATTTTTACATGGCTGCAGATCTGAAGGACAGCTCAGCCTTCAGTTAAACTTGAAACTAGACAACAAATACAGAAA